AACGTGCGGACCTGCTGGGCAGAGGATCGGGGCCCCGGGCGCACGCGGGGAAGGAGGCGGGCCTGATCCGGGCAGCGCCCCCTCCGCTCGGCTTTCCCTTCCCTTCCCTTCCCTTCCCTTCCCACGCCTGGCGCGCTCTTTCCTCCCGGCGTCGCTCCGCGCAGGTGGGTCCCTCGCGGTCTCCAGGCGGGGACGGGGGCGAGGGCGAGGCCGGCCCCGGGGAAAGTGACTCGGGCGGGTCCGTGTCGGGGGGCGGCTCGCGAGCTCAGCCTCCCGCCCGGTGCCGTGGCCGGCCTTTGGCTTTCCAAAGCGAAGCCCCGTCTGGCGCCTCCGAGGCCGGGTCAGGCCGGGTAGGGCCCGGCAGGGGGGCCCTTCCTGCCCCAAATCCCGGGGAGAGGCCGGAGGGAGGACCGGGCGGCCGGCCTGCGCAACGCCATCCTTCCCCGGAGCGTGTGTCTCTGTTTGTGTGTGTGCACGTGCGGACGCGCGTCGCCGAGCTGGGAAGAGCCCCCGGGCGCCCCGGATTTCTGGCGAATGCGGAGCCATGTTTGCTACTTCGGAGCCTTGCCCTCCCGGCTTGGGTTGAAAAATAAAAATTGCAAAACGGGGCGGGAGGGGTGTGAAGAGGGAAGGTAGCGCCTGATGGGCCGGGTGGTCTCTTTCCTTCCCTTGCCTCTGAAAGTGGAAGTCTTGGGGCAAGGGGGCGGGTGGGGGGAAGGGGCGACGTGGGAAGGCGCCTCCGGCGAGCCTCGTCCTGCCGGGCGCGGGCGATCCGGAGGCCTCGGACGAAGGACCGGCCCCGGAAAAAGAACCGACGGGCAGCGAGCGGCCCGGGTGCCTCAGCCTGCTGCGGGCGGAGGGGACGGTTTTGGGACACGCGATGCGCCCCTTTTCGTGCGCCCTGGGATGCGCGCCGGCCTGCGAGAGGGATCGGTGCCGCTGGATGGCCGGCTTGGGGCTTCGCCTCGCGGCCGCCCTTCCTTCCTTCCGCTCCTCTAAAGCTGCAGCATCAAACCGGTGCATCATGTGTGAAGGGAGAGAAAGAGGCAAGACCCTTCTTCCGGCATCTCCTCTGGTGGGAAGAAAAATGGAGGTGGCGGCAGGCAGGCAGGCAGGCAAGCAAGGCCGGCCGGGGGCACCTCCAGATGCAGGCATGCAGCAGAACACGGTGGCAGGTGGGGGGGCCACCGAGGAGTTGGGCAGGGCTGTGTCGCTATGGGGGGGGGAACAGTGGGGGGGGCTTTTCCCCTTTGCTTAATTTCTCATACTCAAATCTTTGGGAAGTTAGCTCTCCCCCTCCCCCAGCTCTGGGAATAGGAGGTATAATTTGTCTTTAGAGTATGCTGATTTTACCTCTGCAAGGAGAGATGTGGGGAGGAATCCCAGCAGTGGCCAAAAAATCGTGGCTTTCCCTCCCCCCTTCCCTCCCCCCCCCAGATACTTTTAGAAGTGGTTTGGTCCATTTCAGCAACTCTTTTTGCTTGGGCCAGGCGGAAGGCCTGCTCTCCTAATAGGCACCCTTGAGGATAATGCTCGGAAATGCAGGGAAGCATCTCCACAACAAGGAGTAACTTAGGAGGAACAGCAAACCCTGGCAGGTAGGTCTGTTTTCCCAGATTGCTGAAGGTTTTCTCCAAATTACCAGGGGTTCCTGAAAGCAGGGCTGGCCAAGCAGATGTAACCTCACAGGTGTGTTTGTAGGTAGGTGTAGCATCCTTTTGCACTGGACTACATCTGGGTGTTGTTGTTTTTTTTGGTCAAAGGCCAAGCATGATCAGAGGTGTAATCCAAGAACTCCTTCAGAGGGGATAATTTCTCCCCGCTTTCTCTAGCCCACGTCCTCTCTGCTTTCAAGCAGAACTTTCCATAGCCTTGGAAGAAGCGGAGCTTTTTCTACAGCTTGCAAAGAATGAGTTAATGATGGGTTAATTCATTGGTAGGGTTTTTAATAAGAAGAAATGACTTCACAGTCTAATTGTAACTTGAAAAGACCCTTCTTGATTGAATGTTTGGCGCAACGTTTTATTACTTGTGCAGGATGGGCGCGGCTTTGGCTGGCGTTTGTTGTGGCTTTGTCTTCCGTGAAAGATAAGGAGATAACTGGAAACCTAAGAAGCTTTTGTAGAACCCTGATTTGCACCTCTGGGGGGTTTTCTGCATGGAGCAGAAGTTCCGGCATGCAAACCAGCAAGGATTTTGCATGTGATGGGAGTGCTGGTTTGTAGACTGTTCAGGTTTTCCATGGAACAGAATGGAAAGGATTGGGGGGGGGGGAGGATGTCAACCAAGCATATGCTGTTCTCTGTTAACATTGTGATTTGTCTAAAAGTTAAGTTTCTGCATAATTAATTAAGGATTTCTCCTAACAACAATAGCAGTATTTAATTTTTGGACCTCACTAGCTATTCATGGCTGAAATCCTGTTGCCTAGCACAGCCAACTGCCTCTAGAGTAGACCTGTTGAGTCAGTGGAGCTTACAGAGGAGTTGACTCACCAAATCCCCACTGTTTCAAGGGGACTACTCTAGTTCCTCCTTACTATGCTAAGTCACAAGAGTTCAGCTACTAAAACAATTTTTTTAAGGATAACATTCGAAGCTGTGATCCCATCTTTTGCTAGATGGTCTTTACTCAATGCATTGTGACCTGGGAACTTTGGCACACAATGCATTTCCTTGCCCATGTAAAGAGGGACATTCATACTCTATAAACAAAAGAGTTTCCAATTTTCCCGTTCTCAGGCCTTGTCAAGCCCACGGCTACTTTGAGCGTAAGATCAAGGAGGTACTCTTCAGAGCGGCAGTGTGGGTGTGTTGTCCTCAAGTTACTTTTTACCGCCACAGATTTCTTTGCAAAGATTTAAACCTATTACACACATGCTTCCACATCATCTGCAGGATATAAGGGGGGTGGGAAATAAGAAAAGATTCCTGCAACCAGTTGGAACATAACTAAACTGATAAATTAAGCAACCCGTTCTGGCTTTCATTTATCTATCTCAACTAATATGACAGTTTCCGTTATAATCAAATAATCTCTGCTAATTAAATGGGGTCTCTGCTGGCTTTGGGCTGGTTCATGAATATGTATTGCTGAGCGGGGTTGGGGGGGAGGGAAAACCTGACTTTGGCTGTCATTGTGAATTATGAAGTCGTCTTCTTATGGGGAGGGGGAGCCTTAACTGCCAATGTGTTAGGACTGGCAGACTTGAGGGTGTTTTGATGGAGATGTCTTATGGAGGGTAGCTCCAGGGGTACATGCACAAGACCAATCCACCCATGCCCCACTATGGAGAGAGAGAGAGAGTACACCAGTCTGTGTAGGAAAAGCTGCCCCATGCCAGGGTGTGCTGTTCATTGGTCCAGGCCAGGGTTGTCCGCTGTGGGTCTCAACAACTTTGCGGGTTCTCCAGAGGAAGAAGAAAGGTCTTTTCCTGGTGGGGCCTTCTGCTTGCAAAAGATGCATGTAGGCAGACAGATGAGAGCTCTTCTAAAGCTGGAAGGCTGATGGGCAGGGGCTCTGTAGAATCTTAAGCAGAGCAGGTTGTCCCCATCATTACTCCTTGGGCATCTGATGTTGGACCTTCTCTCTGCACAAGGCAGCTGCTCCACTTGCAACTAAGGATCCACCTAGGAGGTTTCTAGAGATTCACATGGGAACAAAAACCCCATCCAATACCCTTGGACGGTGTGCTACAGGTGTTTATGTTCTCCTCTTGGGGCTTTGCCAGCTGGAAACAGGGATGGTTGAACACACAACAGCTTAGAAGCTTGGTTGATAAAGGTGATGGTTCCCTGTAACTCATTAGAGTTTTTTAAAAGCAATGTTGTTACCATTTTATTTTCCCAAAAAGGAACTCGTTTCTTTTCTTGTTACTTTAAACCGTTTTAGGACTGATGGCCGGCTGGCATGAAAGCTGGAAGGGAAAAATAGTTAGCAAATGTTATGGTTGTTGTGGGTTTTCTGGGCTGGTTGGCTGTGTTCTGGAGGTTGTTCTTCCTAACATTTTGCCCGTCTCTGGGGCCAGCATCTTCAGAGGACAGGAGCTAGAACTCTGCCTGTGCTCTAGATTTTCTGTTTTCTCTGTCTGTTCTAGCTAGAGTTCTAGCTCCTGTTCTCTGAAGAGGCCGGCCACAGAGACTGGTGAAACATTAGGAAGAAAAAACCTCCAGAACATGGCCAAACAGCCCGAAAAACCTACAACCACCATCGGATCCCGGCCGTGAAAGCCTTTGAGAATGCATAACAAATGTTACTTGGTGCATCTGTCCAGGCACGTCTTGTGTTAACTTGGAAGTGCTTTCATTGCAACTGCATGGATACCACTTCTCATTTTCTTCTTCATCCTCATCTTAGAACTGCAGAGCTGGAAGGGAGACCCTGTGGATCACGGAGTCCAGTGGGGGAATCGAAGCCCCAACCTCTGGCTCTATAGCCAGCTATCTAAACCCCTGAGTGCATCAGTTCTAACAGGCTGTTTCTAGGCGTATTCATCTCTTGGCTGCCTCTTGTCTTCCCTACAATGCTCAGAGCTTGAAAATAACTTTTTTGGAGACCAACTCCCAGAATCCCCTAGCCAGCTAAACTTTGAGGATGTTGTGTACTTCACGCTAGACGTTGCATGCTTCACGCTGTCCTCACACCCAGTTCTCAAACGTACTACTCTTCCTTTGACACACATTTTAATGGTCACGGACTCTACCAAATTTGTTGTAACCTGCCAAGTATGATGGGTGCAGATTCTGACCAGTGAAGAAATACAGATACAAATGGATCGCTACCAGTGCCTATGTTTGTCATGAAGCTCATTGTTGTTATACAAAAAACATTTAACACGGTTTCCACTTGAGGGTGGAAGGAAATGGTCCCTATTTATTTATTTATTTATGACTCTGTGTTGGTAGCTGTCATTGTTTCCCTTCTGTTGGGGGCTTGTTCTTGTGCAAGTGCTGGAGAGTTACAATGCATCTCTGAAATTTAGTGGAAAGGGCCAAGCGGGAAGGGTTTGGGGGGGATGGAGAACTCAACAGCACCTAAATGTGTGTGCACGCACACAAGATTTAGCAAAGGCGTGTGTATTCTACAGGTTCAAGAGTTTATAGGAGGCTGGGAGCCCAGGCAGCCGGGGGGGGGGGGGGGCCAACTAAGGGAAGGAATAATCTACAGTACAATCTGATGGACGCTGTCCCATCGGGTTGGCATCCTGGCATGGAAATATTGCAAGAGGGTTGAAGTTTGAGGAACAAAGCCTATGTTTGTTTGCAAATGTCAGCAGAATCTCTCTGTGTGCGCGCGTGTGTAAGAGAGAAAGAGATTTTCAAACCAGGAGATTTTTCCATTAGATTCTTAACTGGGAAGCAGGCGTACTCAATAGCCAGCTGAACTTGGGCTTTCTAGTTGTTTGTTGGTTTTTATTTTTTGCCTACAGTTCCCATCAGCCTGGGCCAGCGCAACCCATGGGGGTGATGGGAGACGTAGTTGGCTAGCCTCTGGAGGTAGTTTACTAGCAACAGGCAGGAGCATATCTAATCCCTCCAGCCTCTGTTTGCGATGGGCTCACGATGAGAGGTCCCTCTCAGAAGGGCTCAGCAGTCGTTCCCCCCCTAAAAAACAGACAATATCTGGCCTTTCCCTGTGGCTTAACTCTGGATGGCGAGGAGCAGACAGACGCAGGTTCCCTCTTGAGCCCCCATCTTCAGTTTTTGCCAGCTGAAAAGACAGGAGAAGCAAAGTAAGGGTTTGGTCCTGCCTGCCTTCTAAATTATATCCCCTTGTTTACTGTTTGCGTGGGAGGAGAAGGAAAAACATCAACCCAAGCTCAGCCGAGAGCCCCAACCGCCTCCCCCCCCCTTGTGGCCTTTCTTATTAAGGATTTGGTGATGTCTTGCTTCAATTCCGCCTCCGTCGCCTTCCCCAAGCTTTTTCCTAAGGAGTTGGTCTTTAAAAGGGTTCCGGTGAGAGCAGGGGTGAACAACATGCCCTTCGGGGGCCCTGCCCACCCACCCAACCCTCCGCGGCCAGAACTGCCATCAAATGTGGCCGCGCACCATGGGGAAACCCTTTGAAATCAAGGGGGGAATGCTTCATTTCAAGGGTTTTTTCCCCGTGATTTGCCAGTGAATTTTACTCGCAAATAATCAGGAACCGTTTCCTGCTGGTGTTGAAGGGTTTTTATCGGTTTGCTGCCCAGATTCGGTGCCCAGGTTTGTTGGTGGAGTTCTGCAGCCCGGCAGGAGAGGAGGACAGTGGGTTTGGCTCCAGGGATGGCCCTAATAGCTGCCAAATTCACCTTCCAGGCACACTTGTTATTGCAAAACGTTCACCTCCTGGAGGGAAGACATCGAACTAGGATCTCGGTAAGGAGGAGAGCCTCAGAAAGTTACTTTTGAAGTTCCAGAGCCCTCCATCCAGCTTGGTGGTGCAGGCTGGGGGATTCTGGGAGTTGTAGTCTAGGTGAGAAGCTCATCTCCCATGCTCTGGTAGGCAGTGTCAGAGGCGAGAGGCAGGAACACAGGAGGTGTGTCTTCTCTCTTTTGGGGTGGGAAAGCTCTCCAAAATAGCAGCAGCTGGGCAAGTGTGTGCAGGTGGTTGAACCCAA